TGCCCTGTGCAGCCGCTTTCCCGACGAACGGCAGGCGCTGCAAACGCAGATTTTTTTAGCACAGCAAACCATTTTGGTTCCAGCTTCCTTTCTCAGGGTAGCTGCCAGGCAGATATACCCACGCCGGCGGAGTTTTACATGCACGGCATCACCTCCCTGCCGAAGGTATTATCGGTTTGTTCGCTGATAGCAGCAATAGCATCTTTGAAGCCTGGGTGAAGAAGGGGAGCACTGTTTCCTCCCCAGATTGCTGGCACGCGTTTTGCATCCGCAGACTGGGATCTGAGAGGGAGATGCTGGCCCAAAGCAAATGAGTCCCCCCTAAAACAGGGTAAGCTCCTGCTGCACAGACTTTCTGCTCCCTTTCTGCTATGTTTTCTCCAGCCTGTTTTGCTCAAGAGTTGCATGAGGCCGGTTATTCAAAAAGGGGTATTCACCCAAGAAATGGATCAAGTGGCGTGGCCAGAAATATAATGCTTTTTGTACGCTGCACATCGCTAAGCTCCCTGCTACGGGATGCTGGGGCAGCCCGGAGGAGAAATGAGCCCTAACAGCATTTAGACACATTAACAGGGGGGAGAATCCATCCGGGGCTGGACCGCACTGCTAAGACATCGCCGCCGGACCAGGGAGTCCCTAATCACGGGCTGCAGGAAGCTGGGAGGGTGACAGAGCGGGGTCCATCGCTCCGTCCTTGTCCCGGTTCAGTGCTCTTCCCCTAAGCATCCACCACCGCCACATGCAGGGCGGACGAACCTTTGGCTCGACCCAGCGTGGCCAGACGTTATAAATAAATGAATAACCCCTCGACGAAGGCTGCTCGGTCACTCATCGGCACTGACTTTGCCCTAGAGCAGTGAGGGTTTCAAATCTGGCCTCCGTGAGAGCTGGGAGGTGGAGGTGCACCCCGAAAGAGAGAAACGGCGCTGTCGGTGCTCCCCACAGCCTCTGCAGAAGCAAGGGGACAGCCTTCCCATGCATTTTCCACCATCCTTCACAAAGGGATCCTCTGGAAGAAAACCACCCCAGGAACAGATGAAGCAGCTTTAGGAGGAAAGGCTCAAAAAGCCGCGGGGAAAAGAAATGATCTTCCCTTTGCAGAAGAGGTTCAGAGAGGCAGCCAAGCAAGGACCGGCTCACGGCTAGCACTGGATGCTGCCGAGGAGATGCTGGGGAAGGGCAAGGCTGGGGAAAAACACAGGGACAAGAGAAGAGTCTGTAAAAGCACTCCTCCAGGCTGACAAAGTCTCTCCTCTAAACCCAGTCTGCCTCCGGGTCCAACGCTGCAGCAGTTCAAAAGGTTGCCTTGGCTTAAAGCCCTCCGCAGATGAGGGATGCCGCAGGCTCAGGGATTTGTGGAGAACAGATCTTACATGGGAAACGTGATCGTTTTCCTCCCCTCCTGATCGGGCCACAGGTACCAAAATTGGTGCGGAAAAGATGGGAGCCGAGCTAAAGCATCCCAATTTTAACAAATCTGCTTGATTACATGATATATCAAACCCACACAGCTTGTTCCCATGCCGGGAGGTTTCAAAGCATGGGGCAAGCAGCTCTGTGGAGCCCAATCCATGGAATAAGACACCCCCTAAGATTCCTAAACCACCTTTTTGCCCACTATTTCAGGCAGCCAGAGGCTGACTTTTCCTCCGAGGCAGGGGAGAGCTCCTCTGCCATTAAAAGGCATTTCAATACCTGCAAATGTTCTCATTACCCATTAAATATCTAATCCCTTTGCAAACCTGAGTAAGCTGCCGGCCTTTGCCACCCCTCGTGGCAACGACTCCTACATGTTGATTAGGCGTTTTGTAGGAAGGCGTTCCCTTTTTTTAATCAGTTTTAAACGTGCTGCCTTTCAAATCCTATTTAACAACTCCAAATCCTGCAAAAGGGTAAGCGTGCAAGCACGCAGGCTGACTTCCTCAAGCTTCTGTGGGGTATGGGGACCCATACCATCATCATGCCTTCATCGATGGCCTGGAAAGGGGCAGCTCCTCTACTAAAATTCACCGA